CTGCTGGGCAGTTATCCTCTGGACTGCTGGGCAGTTATCCTCTGGGCTGCTGGGCAGTTATCCTCTGGACTGCTGGGCAGTTATCCTCTGGACAGCTGGGCAGTTATCCTCTGGGCAGCTGGGCAGTTATCCTCCTGTCTCTTATACACATCTAGATGTGTATAAGAGACAGGTCCTGGGCCGTGGGGACCCGGGGGTTACCTGGGGGGGTTTAGCGTCGGGGTCCTGGGCCGTGGGGATGGCCACGTTGTAGTTCGCCAGTTGGCTGATGATGGTAGACATGCGGGGACGGTCGGCCAGCTCCTCCTGTGGTAGATTAGGGTAGATTTGAAGTAGAATGAGGTATATTATTGCAGGTTAGATGAGAGGTAGATTGGTGTGTAAATAACAGGGTAGATGAGGGGTAGAATGGTGTATATCAGGGTAGATGAGAGGTAGAATAATGTATAGCAGGGTAGATGAAAGATAGAATGGTGTATATATAAAACAGGGTAGATGAGAGATAGAATTATGTATAACAAGGTAGATGAGAGATTAAATGGTGTATATATAGCAGGGTAGATGAGAGGTAGAATGGTGTTTAGCAGGGTAGTTGAGAGGTAGATTGATGAATATAAATCAGGGTAGATTAGAGTATATGAGCGGTAGGATGAATTATATATAGAAGGGGTAGATTTTAGGTAATGTGTGATAAAATATCGAAAATCGGAAACTAATCCAAATAGTAGATTATTTTTTCGAGTGGTAGAAAATTTTATTTGTTGTATATAAATAGATTACAACACAATAAATAGATTATTATTAGCTTAATAATCAAGACTAATTAGGTAGAGTGTAGACTGGTAGATGAGAGTAGATGGCAAATGATTTCATTCGAGTAGAACTATATACTTTGGTAGAATTGAATTTATATGAGTAGATGAGCAGGGGAAAATGGGTCATAGCTCATTTAATACGGTAGATTTTTTAACCGGTAAGTTGAAGTAGTCTAGTAAATGCATGTTAATTAGTAGCATGAGTTAGACGACAGGTAGATAAAGTAGATTTATTAAGATTACAAAACAATCCCGTCGAATAAAGTAGAAAATAATTGAGAAGTAGACAGGTTTAATGCAGGTAGACGGGTTTAATGCAGGTAGACGGGTTTAATGCTGGTAGACGTGTTTAATGCAGGTAGACGTGTTTAATGCAGGTAGACAGGTAGACGTGTTTAATGCAGGTAGACGGGTTTTTGAAGGTAGACGGGTAGATGACTCACCGAGTAGAGGTAGAGGTTGCGCTCGTACCCAGACTCGTTCATGTCTACCATGATGGGGCGCTCGTCCCCACCGTCTGGAAAGTAGATCAAAGTAGATTGAGTTACTCAGAGTAGATAAATTCGAGTAGATAACCACTTTAACTAAAAAAAACATAAATTTAAATTTTATTTTTAAAAGTTTATAAATTTTAAACATAAATAAATTTAAAATAAAACAGGTCACATAAGTAGATAAATAGTAGAAAAATGCAAAAATTATTGTTACATTCTACTTTGAATATATTAATATTATTATTGTGTTATAATTAACAATAGTGAAATGGCTACAATTACGATAACGGCAGTGATAACAATAATGATAACAATAACCGTAACAGTGATAACAATATAAATAACAATAACCGCAACAGTGATAATAACGATAACAAGATAACAATTATGATAAAAAAACGTAACAGCAATAACAATAAGATAAAATTAGTGATAACAATAAGATAACAATAATATAATAAGATAACAATAAGATAACAGTGAAGACATTCAATCACCCGCGGTCGCAGCAACGGCCTCCGCGACGCTGCCGCCCCCTATAACGCCCATCCCCAGGGGCAACCCCTTGAAGGGGTCTAACCCTCCCGCAGCTGACGGGGGTCCTGCTGAACCCCCGACATTGTTATCCCCCCCAGGATTGCTGTTCTCAATATTTTTTTCAGTCCAATTTTCATTTTCCGGAAATTTTCGAACCCCCGCGTCGAAAATCCCCCCACCGAGGGCGGCACGCATGCGGGTCCAGCGGCCTCCGCGAGGGGTCGGCGACCCCACGGGGAAATAAGACGCCCCAACGGGTCCCTCGGGACCCGGGGTCACGGGGGTGTAGATACCCCCGCCGGTTCCCGGGGACCGGGACCGGGGAGTGTAAGGTCCTGGGAGTCCGATTTCGCAAGCGGGACCGACCCGTGAGTCCCCGTGAGAAGTTCCCGCAGGACCGAGACCGTCCCGCGGGTCACCAAAAGTGGTCCCCGATGAACCGAACAGCGACCAAATCCTGTCACCGTCCGCCATTGTTTAAATGTTGTTCAAGGGTTCACATGCACCGGAAGTTTCATTGGTTCGGAGGTTCGAGGGATTCAAGAGGACCAGGATTGATGGCGGGGTTCAGTGTCCAGGGTTCAAGGGCTCCGGTACAACTATGTCGGGGTTCAGTGTCCCACGGTTCAAGGGTCCCGGTACAACTGTGTCGGGGTTCAGAGTCCCAGGGTTCAAGGGTCCCGGTACAACTGTGTCGGGGTTCAGAGCCCCGCGGTTCAGGGGTCCCTGTACAACTGCGTCGGGATTCAGAGCCCCACGGTTCAAGAGTCCCGGTACAACTGTGTCGGGGTTCAGGGTCCCACGATTCACGGGCCCCGGTACAACTGTGTCGGGGTTCAGTGTCCCACGGTTCAAGGGTCCCGGTACAACTGTGTCGGGGTTCAGTGTCCCACGGTTCAAATGTCCCGGTACAACTGTGTTGGGGTTCAGTGCCCCACGTTTCAAAGTGTCCCACGGTTCAAGGGCCCAGGTACAACTGTGTCGGGGTTCAGTGTCCCACGGTTCAAGGGCCCAGGTACAACTGTGTCGGGGTTCAGTGTCGCACGGTTCACGGGTGTCGGTACAACTGTGTCGGGGTTCAGTGTCCCACGGTTCACGGGTCCCGGTACAACTGTGTCGGGGTTCAGAGCCCCACGGTTCAAAGGCCCAGGTACAACTGTGTCGGGGTTCAGTGTCCCACGGTTCAAGGGTCCCGGTTCATAATGTCACAGCAAGAAAGAACCGAACTTCCAACTCACTATCAACTCCAAATCGAATGGGCCATATTCAGGAACATTTTCATTAGCACCAGAAATCACTACCAGCACTATCACCAGCACCAGCAGAACCACCAACACCAACACTAGCACCAGAAACACTACCAGGCACTAGCCGCAACACCAGCAACACTAATAGCCACACTAGCAGCACCAGTAGCTGACACTATTAAGAACACTAACACTAGCAACTCCAGCACTAGCACCGACAAAACTAGGACTGGACGGTATATACCAGCAGACACTAGCAGCACCACTAGCACCAACACAACTAGGACTGGACGACACTAGCAGACACTAGCAGCAATACAATCAAGACTGGACGACACTAGCAGACACTAGCAGCAATACAATCAAGACTGGACGACACTAGCAGACACTAGCAGGACCACTAGCACCAACACAACTAGGACTGGACGACACTAGCAGACACTAGCAGCAATACAATTAAGACTGGACGACACTAGCAGACACTAGCAGCACCACTAGCACCAACACAACTAGGACTGGACGACACTAGCAGACACTAGCAGCAGGCCCCGTTATCTTATCAGCAGTTATCGCTCGCGCCTGAGACGGCATGACGATGCATGGCGCCCGTAGGCTACACGTCAATATCTATTTAGGTGCAATAGTCTAGAATAAAATAATAAATTAATATATAATCTATTATTAATGATATTAATATTTGTAATATTAAAAAATAATAATAATAATTTTAATAATAAAAATAAAATGATAATGATGATGATATTAATATATAGGTTTACAGTTTAAGTTCGGTTTGATAATACAATATATGGACATTGATAATGTTTATTTATCCTGAATATAAGATATATAATAAACCTATATCTTCGCGAGCGTGTAGGTTTAATGATATAACAGAATATAAAAAATATATATATCTATATAAATATATAAGATATCCTCTGGGCTGCTGGCCAGTTATCCTCTGGGCTGCTGGGCAGTTATCCTCTGGACTGCTGGGCAGTTATCCTCTGGGCTGCTGGGCAGTTATCCTCTGGACTGCTGGGCAGTTATCCTCTGGACTGCTGGGCAGTTATCCTCTGGGCTGCTGGGCAGTTATCCTCTGGACTGCTGGGCAGTTATCCTCTGGGCTGCTGGGCAGTTATCCTCTGGGCTGCTGGGCAGTTATCCTCTGGGCTGCTGGGCAGTTATCCTCTGGGCTGCTGGGCAGTTATCCTCTGGGCTGCTGGGCAGTTATCCTCTGGGCTGCTGGGCAGTTATCCTCTGGGCTGCTGGGCAGTTATCCTCTGGGCTGCTGGGCAGTTATCCTCTGGGCTGCTGGGCAGTTATCCTCTGGGCTGCTGGGCAGTTATCCTCTGGGCTGCTGGGCAGTTATCCTCTGGGCTGCTGGGCAGTTATCCTCTGGGCTGCTGGGCAGTTATCCTCTGGGCTGCTGGGCAGTTATCCTCTGGGCTGCTGGGCAGTTATCCTCTGGGCTGCTGGGCAGTTATCCTCTGGGCTGCTGGGCAGTTATCCTCTGGGCTGCTGGGCAGTTATCCTCTGGGCTGCTGGGCAGTTATCCTCTGGGCTGCTGGGCAGTTATCCTCTGGGCTGCTGGGCAGTTATCCTCTGGGCTGCTGGGCAGTTATCCTCTGGGCTGCTGGGCAGTTATCCTCTGGGCTGCTGGGCAGTTATCCTCTGGGCTGCTGGGCAGTTATCCTCTGGACTGCTGGGCAGTTATCCTCTGGGCTGCTGGGCAGTTATCCTCTGGACTGCTGGGCAGTTATCCTCTGGACAGCTGGGCAGTTATCCTCTGGGCTGCTGGGTCCAGGGAAAGCAATCAAGGATCCAGGAGATCAAGACGGACTGGACGCGAGCGCTTAATTTGTGAGGTGAAACTGCCCTCACAAAATGTTTTAAAAATTCTGTGAGGGAAATTGTGACTCACAAAATGTTTAATAGAATTTGTGAGGGGAAATTTTGTATATATAGAATACTTGTAAAAAGAAACCAGGAAACATACGAGGTCTAAAGCTCCGTGAAAATAGTTTTCTAGGTTAAATGGTCGAGCAGAAACTAACATCATGTAAATTGTCAACAAAATAACTAATTAATAATTAAATATCCTAATTCTTTCTTAATAAAATCAACAAGAAACATATAGGTAAATATTCATGTTTTGAGCCCAACATTTCGCTTTATTAAAAAATTATTTATTGTTTTAATGATTATATTAATCAAAATTGATAATACTAGAAAAGAATATTGGAATAATTAATTAAGATTAATTATATGTAATAAAAAGATTATCCTAGTTGTCTAGTACTAAATGTTACTAGAGAGCACTTGTTTCTATATGATGGTACAAAGATAATACCTCATTACGATCAGGATAAATATAATATTTATATAATATAACATGATATAATATAATATATATAATATAATATAATATAAATATATACCATTTAATTGGATTACATTTAAGATACATTCAAGGGCAGCGGATCCAGAGGGAAACCCTCAAGGGGTTCGGCGCCTAAGAGGGGTTCGAGAGGGGCTCAGGAGGGGTTCAGGAGAGGCTCAGAAGAGGCTCTTGGTGAGGCCTATGGCCTCTTGAACACGCGCGCCTGAACAGCGTCCGAAACATGCGTGAAAGTGAGTGAGAGAAAGTGAGAGAGAGAAAGAGAGCGAGAGAAAGTGAGCGAGAGAAAGAGAGCGAGAGAAAGTGAGCGAGAGAAAGTGAGCGAGAGAAAGTGAGCGAGTGGAAGTGAGCGAGAGAAAGTGAGCGAGTGGAAGTGAGCGAAAAAAGTGAGCGAGAGAAAGTGAGCGAGAGAAAGTGAGCGAGAGAAAGTGAGCGAGAGAAAGTGAGCGAGAGACAGCGAAAGAGAGAAAGCGAGCGAGAGAAAGTGTGTGAGAGAAAGCGAGTGAGTGGACGCGAACGAGAGAAAACGAGCGAGAGAAAGTGAGC